TCCACACTGTGGTCGTAGGGGCCTGGGGCAGGCTGCAAGGGAGCACAAATATGGATTAAATCTTTGCAAATGGGTCAAAAGATTTGATACATTTTCAGAATTCAGAATTGTAATAAAATTCTAATAGTCTTTGATAGTTTGAAAGGCTTGAAGTACATAAAGAGCTAAACTTGCACAAAAAAGTCTTTTAATCAATATATATATATAATATATATATATATATATATATATATATATATATAAAGAAAAAGACCAACAATATTTTATAATAAAAAAAAAAAAAAACCTTAGTACTACAGCATTGACTTCTTTTCATCATACCACACATTAATATAGGGATGCATTAACGCGTCGTCTACACTTATCCTTCGCTCGGGGTCTATTACAAGCATCCTTGATAGCAGATCTCGTGCTTGACTTGCTGCAATGCATTGCAAAAAGTATTAGTAGTGCAACTGATGAGTAATTCATGACTGATCAATAATGGAATCCTATCAACTGATAGATCTATTTCTAATATAAAATATAAATGATAGACTGACAAAAAAATCAATTTGGCTAAATATTTATATGTTCCAATACAATATATTATATGCTTTATACAGAAGATTACATGAAAAAAAAAATAACAACAAATTCATGTAAATTATATATATATATATATATTATATATATATATATATATATATATATATATATATATATATATATATATATATATATATATATATATATATATATATATATATATATATATATATATATATAATATATAATATATATATATATATATATATATAGTATATGTATATGTATATGTATATGTATGTATATATATATATATATATATATATCGGGGTATTATAAAAACATATAACTTCATGAGAGCAGAAAGGTAAAAATAAATAATAAAAATGAAATCAGCTAGGAACTTTGCTTTGCTCGAGGTAAACTGGCAGAGTTGTACCATGATCAACAATCAATGATATTTGACCCCATTTCAGTTATAGTATTTGACTACACAAATAAGTCTAGGTCACTGGAAAGTTTGTTGTCATAATTTCTATATCCGTTGAAATATAGAGTAACAGGGTAGCTGGCAACATTGTATGAGGTTATGATAATTAATAATATGGGAGGAAAAGCTCATATACGTTTCTCTTCCTTCTTGATAATAGGAGCTATGTGATTCAGTTCTGTGAAATTTCCAACATAAATGAGATGATACTCATAGAATCCACAATTACTAAAGTTTATGTATGTGAATGATGGGCTCGGAAGATAGCTCTCTAAGAGGGGGGGGGGGACGCTATGTAGTGTGACTAACCCCCTTCCCCCTCCCCCCTTCCCATGCTTGCAAAGACACTCGCTGTGCCTATTCAGGGATCCCTAGTTATACACAACTAGTGTGACTGTTGCTTTAGCTTCATAAATTTTACACAGTACTATGGGCCTCTGACCTTCTGCCAAAATGGGCAAGTTTTTTTCCCTTATCTGCCAAATAATGAAAGAAATTTCCCCCAAAAAAAGAAAAGTAAGAGTTGGTATGCCCCTGATTCTATTAATTCTGTGTGTGTGTGTGCATGTGCGTGTGCGTGTGTGTGTGATTTTAAGCAGTAAAATCCATGCTCAGATATCATGAATCAAAGGTTATTGAGCCGTAATTTGTTATATGCTCACAAAAACAGAGAAAGAAAGGCCATGTAACAAAAACAATGAAATTTTCAAAAAGTAAAACAGTTAGACAACACCTTTTCTAAATTAGTATAAATTGCCGGTTACTTACCTCGAAACAGGTGTTAGATCACTGTGTTAAAATCTCAGTTACGAAAACCAACAGTTCAACTCTTCTATTTTCATTTGTAGTTTTGAGAATGGGGATTTCTTACTAAATTTTCATTTGCAAGATTTGTAAGACATCAATAAAATGACGTTGGCTAACAATCAACTGATAAATAAATAAAATAAGTTATCTATATGCAATAGAGAATAAAATGAATATTTTTCCAATTTAATTTTTCTGTGTTTACCTCATTATACCAATATTTCTCAAGGTAATTGATTTCCAATATTCTATTAGCTAAGTTTCTAATTCACTCAATTGAAAAAAGGCCAAATGAAGAAATATATATCATAATAAAATGAAAAACAATAATAATAATATTAATATTAATATTAATAATTATGATAATAATAATAATAATGACACATCTACTAATGTTATGAAAATGGATTAAAACTCCACCTCTTCTCAACCACAAATGAAAACTGTGAAAAGGGCCTTTCACAATCGCCCTAAAACACGACGAAGCGTTATCATCACCATCATCATCACTGTCAAGAAGGTTGCCACAGCACTCCATGCTTCGCTCTGCCTGCTCTCTTCCTCTCTCTCGGGAGAGAGATTTTGAGAGCGCCGAGCCCAATGCCTCTTTTTCCCTCCTCACCTTTGATCCAGTAATAGCTGTGTTGCCTGGGCCAGTACCTGTCGCTCTCCTCCTCACCTTTGAGTCTGTTATGGTCCGTGGACTCAGCAGGGAACAGCACGTCGGGGAACAAGCGGTCGAAGGAATAGCCAGGGTAGCGGGGACGGTTTTCCACATAGTTGCGAACAGTTGGCTGTAACCTCGACATGAACTCTTGCGAGGGAGTGCCCAGTTGCTCTGTTGGGGGGCAAGGAGTGGGGGAGAAAGGCTAATCAGTGTTGAGCGAGTTATTTTGTGTGTGTTAGTGTGTGTGTGTGTATGGGTGTGTGCATATGAGTGTGTGCATGTGAGTGTCTGTGTATGAGTGTGTATAAGTGTGAGTGTGAGTGTGAGTGTGTCAGTGTATGAGTGAGTGTGTGTTTGTATGTGTTCGCATGTATGCACGTGCGTGTGTGTGAATGCATATGTGTTCCTGTGCATTACTGTTCTGGGTTATAGTATTCAGTGCATGTTAAATATACATTGTACCAAACTATTTTGCTCGCATCTTACATTCATTAGATGCTATACATATCATGAAGATATCTATCAGCCTAACTTAGAAAAACCCAACTTTGAAATGTTAGTATTAAAAGAAAGAAAACATATCATCCACACTAACAGACTTCCCAGTCTCTTCATGTAGTTTGTCCATACTCTAATGAAAATCTTGAGCGCAATACACAATCCCTTTTCATTTACAGAGAATTTCATACATTCTTACGCCTGAAAAAATTTCTTATCTATCTTAGAAAGAGTAAATAGCAACAAGCTTTTTGGAAGTACATGTCACACAGAAAATAAATCCCAAAAGCATATTTTTAAGTATCAGAAAGGTGTCATCAACATATTATCAATATGTTATAATTATATAAGATATATAAAAATATATATTACAGATTTTTATGAATATATTTAAACAAGTGGATTGCAATATATACTTACAGTCATATAACAAATATCAAATTACATTAAAAATACCCAATAATAATACAAATATACACCTCATACAAACAGGTTAAGCATTTTCACCCTCTTATTTTATATATGTAAAAAAAAAATAACTAAATAAATAAATAATTAAATAAATAAATCAGCCACTCTCAATGCCAAGCTCACCAATAATCTTATTCCACTGGTCAATGTGATCCGTCCCTGGGAACAGGACGCCTCCTCGAATCATCTCTCCCATTATGCAGCCGACTGACCAGATGTCCACGTTCTCTGTGTAGCCCATACCTAAAATTACCTGAAAGACACAGTGGGTTTTAGTACGGGAAGGAGGTGGAGCAAAATTTGGTAGAGGTGGAGGAGAAAGTGAATGTGGATATGGAGGAAAAAAGAAGAGATAGAGGAGGAGGAAAGGACTAGAGTGGAAAGGAGGGAGGAGGAGGAGGAGAGAAGAGTTGTGAAGGGAAGAAAAGAAAAGAGAAAAGAAGAGAAGAGTAGAGAAGATACGAGAAGCGAAGAGAAGAGGAGAGGAGAGAGAGGAGAGGAGAGAAGAGACAAGAAGCGAAGAGAAGAAAACAGAAGAGAGGGGAGCAATACATCCCGAAAACTCCACTTCACAGATGAAGGGATTAAGGAGCTACCATCAAAGTCATATCTTCCTACCTCTATTAACTAAACACTTGACTAAATTCTTTTTTTTCTTTTTTTTTACGCGGCAACAGGCAGCACCACACCTCAAAACTATGAAGGAAATGTAGGTTGACATCCCACAAAGTGCGGCTTAGTTGGTTCTCATATTTGGAGATTATTGTATGCTCAAACAACTGATTCTTATAGACTGATAATCAATATCAATTACTCCTTAAGATTCCTTCACTTATCACAAAGGCATCAGCCTGCAGAAAAGATGAAGATAAACACTAATCCGACCAATTTAACCCACGGAGGAACAGTGAGCTACAAAACTACACTTTATCAAACAGGCAAGAAAATGCTAATTATAAAAATACATTCATAAAAACAGACATAAATCTTGAGATAAAACTGCAAAGGGGTAAATTATCATGTATAACTATCTAGACAAGTTTAAATGTATAGAAAAAAGGCTATCTTTATAAAAATGATTGACCTGGAAGAAGAGGAAAAATAAAATCTGAATTCTTTTCCAGACTTCGATATGAACAGCCAACAGGGAAAAGCAATCTTCCAAGATTTTTCATTTTTCATGCCATGACTCTATATCACACAAAAACAGAAACGAAGTGTGGAACGCAAATTAGCGCCTTACCTCTGGTGCTCTGTAGTATCTAGTTACAACATAGGGAGTCATCATAAATGTGGTACCGGCTGTCCGTGCTAAACCAAAGTCTAGGATCTTGAGTGTACAGTCTGATTTTACCACGATATTACTAGGCTTCAGGTCCTGTAAGATGATAATGTGTATAATTTGAGAGGGTTTTGTATTAATCTTAAAGGTGTACAAAAAAAGAACAATAATTTTGTTTGAAAATCAAGACCTGTTTTTTTTTTTTTCTAATCCTTCTTTTCCTTTTTTTCCCTTTCCTTTTTTTCTTAATGACATCTCTTATTCAAGATGTGTAAGAAATGATGATTGTGGCATAACATGCCACTGCAAAGTTCAACACAAAAAAAGAATAAAAAGAAAAAAAAAAATCCATGACAACTATCTATCCCTTTGGCTCTCAGTCAAAATGCATTATATTTTTTCCAAAAAATCTATTCATACATGTATATATTAAAAATCATTATTCTAGGCACTCTAACCCCCATGGCAACACCTAAAGTGTGCTCTTACGGGGTGGAACAAAAGCAGCCCTTTCGTACATTCACAAGGCCAATGACTCTTTACAGGAAGAAAAGGCCCTCACCCTATGGATAATGCCGGCTGAGTGTAAGTGCTTTATCCCACACAGCATCTGGTAGAGGAGGTAGGACATGCGCTCGTGGTCCAGGTCCATTTGTATCACCTGGCACAGGTTGGCATCCATCAGCTCCATCACCAGGTAGACGTCCTGGAACTCCTCCAGCGACTTCTGTGGCGTGAAGGCATTCAGCAATCCGATGATCTGGAAAAGCGTTTCATGGCAGTTGATAAGTGAACAAAGAAGAGAGAGAGAGAGAAAGAGAGAAAAAAACATAAACAAACAAAAAACTAAATCACCAGACTAAAAAAATAAATATAAATAATAAAAAAAAAAAAGTTAAATTCCTTTTTGTACAACAGATGGAGAAAAAAGATCATTTTTTTTTTTTAAGCCCAGCTCCACCTTGATGACAAATACCCCAATAACAGTAAATTATGACAAAAAAGGAGA